TTCTCCTGCCTCAGCCTCCTGAGTAGCTGGGATTACAGGCACGCGCCACCATGCCCAGCTAATGTTTTTGTATTTTTGGTAGAGACGGGGTTTCACCATGTTGACCAGGATGGTCTCGTTCTCTTGACCTCGTGATCTACCCGCCTCGGCCTCCCAAAGTGCTGGGATTACAGGCTTGAGCCACCGCGCCCAGCCCACAAAAAGAGGTTTAATTGGACTTACAGTTCCACATGGGGGGGAGGCCTCAGAATCATGGTGGGAGGCAAAAGGCACTTCTTACATGGCGGTGGTGAGACAAAAGTAGAAAAATGAGAAGCAAAAGCAGAAACCCCTGATAAACCCATCAGATCTTGTGAGACTTATTCACTAGTATGAGAAAAGCACAGGAAAGACTGGCGCCCATGGTTCAATTAACTCCTTCTGGGTCCCTCCCACCACATGTGGGAATTCTGGGAGATACTCAAGTTGAGATTTGGGTGGGGACACAGCCAAACCGTATCATTCCGTCCCTGGCCCCTCCAAATCTCATATCCTTTTATTTCAACACCAATCATGCCTTCTCAACAGTCCCTAAAAGTCTTAACTGATTTTGCATTAACCCAAAAATCCAGTCTGAAATCTCATCTGAGACAAGGCAAGTCCCTTCCGCCTATGAGCCTGTAAAATAAAAATCCTAGATATAATGGGGGTATAGGTGTTGGGTAAATGCAGCCATTCCAAATGGGAGAAATTGGTCAAAACAAAGGGGTTACAGGGCCCATGTAAGTCCGAAATCCAGTGGGGCAGTCAAATTTTAAAGCTCCAAAATGCTGTCCTTTGACTCCAGGTCTCACATCCAGGTCATGCTGATGCAAGAGTTAGGTTCCCATAGTCTTGGGCAGCTCTGCCCCTGTGGCTTTGCAGGGTACAGTCTCCCTCCTGGCTGCTTTCATGGGCTGGCACCGAGTGTCTGTAGCGTTTCCAGGTGCACAGTGCAAGCTGTCAGTGGATCTACCACTCTGGGGTCTGGAGGACAGTGGCCCTCTTCTCACGGCTCCAGTAGGCAGTGCCCCAGTAGGGACTATGTTTGGGGGTTTTGACCCCACATTTCCTTTCTGTACTGCCCTAGCAGAGGCTTTCCATGAGGTCCCCGCCCCTGCAACAAACTTTTGTCTGGGCATCCAGGCGTTTCCATACGTCTTCTGAAATGCAACTGGAGGTTCCTAAACCTCAGGTTCTTGCCTTCTGTGCACCCACAGGCTCATACCACATGGAAACTGCCAAGATCTGGGGCTTCCACCCTCTGAAGCCACAGCCTGAGCTGTATGTTGGCCCCTTTCAGCCACAGCTGGAGTGTCTGGGACACAGGGCACCAAGTCTCTAGGCTGCACACAGCATGGGGACCCTGGGCCAGGCCCATGAAACCGCTTTTTTCTCCTGGGCCTCTGAGGCTATGATGGGAGGGGCTGCCTGAGTCTCTGACCTGGCTTGGAGACATTTTCCCCATGGTCTTGGGGATTAGCATTAGGCTCCTTACTATTTATGCAAATTTCTGCAGCTGGCTCAAGTTTTTCCCCAGAAAATGGGTTTTTCTTTTCTATTGCATAGTCAGGCTGCTAATTTTCCAAACTTTTATTCTCTGCTTTCCTTATAAAATTGAATGCCTTTGGCCGGGCGCGGTGGTTCAAGCCTGTAATCCCAGCACTTTGGGAGGCCGAGGCGGGTGGATCACGAGGTCAAGAGATCGAGACCATCCTGGTCAACATGGTGAAACCCCGTCTCTACTAAAAATACAAAACATTAGC